CTCTCTCTCTCTCTCTCTCTCTCTCTCTCTCTCTCTCGCGCGCGCGCGCGCACGCGCGTTTAGAAACACGAAGCGGGAACGCATCTTCCCGCGATATCCCGTTTCGTGTTTTGAAATTCTCTCTCTCTCTCTCTCTCTCTCTCTCTCTCTCTCTCTCTCGAGCGCGCGCGTGTTTCGAAACACGAAACGGCGTTCCCGTTGAGAGAGAGAGAGAGAAAGAGAGAGAGAAAGAGAGAAAGGGGCGGCGAGTTCGTCGCGACCCTCCGTGCAGGTCGCCACCTCTCTCTCTCTCTCTCTCTCTGAGAGAGAGAGAGAGAGAGAGAGAGAGAGAGAGAGAGAGAGAGAGAGAGAGAGAGAGAGAGAGAGAGGTGGCGAGTTCGTCACAACCCTCCGTGCAGGTCGCCGCCTCTCTCTCTCTCTCTCTCTCTCTCTCTCTCTCTCTCTCTCTGCCTGCCACTTTCAAATGGCAAAGCGGGAATGATTCTTTCCGAGAAAGCGGGAAGATTCATTCCCGCTTTGCCTTTCCGAAGGTTCGTTTTCTTTTTCTTATTTCTTTGTTTTTTTTGGTTGTTTTCTTTTTCGTTTGTGTTTTCCTTTTTTTTTTTCCTTCTTTTTTCTGTTTCTCTCTAGTGTGTCGTCCCTACAGAAGCGGGGTCCGGCCTTCGCGCAACGACCGGGCCTTCCCTTGGCCGACCCCCCTAAGGCTGCGGCTTCTAAGCTGAATCTCACGAGGTTCATTGCACTGGTACTGGAGCTTGAACCCGAGAGAGAGAGAGAGAAACAGAGGCACAGCGAGCTTCGGAGAGTGTCGCGGCAAACTCATCGTGGCTCTCTCTCTCTCTCTCTCTCTCTCTCTCTCTCTCTCTCTCTCTCTCTCTCTCTCTCTCTCTCTCTCTCTCTCTCTCTCACCATGTGGCTTGCGCGGGTCCGTGTACAGTTTGCTCGTTTCAAATGAATCTTGCTTAGATCGCACGATTCGCTCCCATGCTCCCCGTTGTCTCTCTCAGCGAGCTGCACGAAGCTCGCCGTCTCTCTCTCTCTCTCTCTCTCCCTCTCTCTCTCTCTCTCTCTCTCTCTCTCTGTGCGTGTGTGTGTGTGTGTGTGTGTGTGTGGCTTGCACGGGCCCGGGTACAGTATGCTCTATTCAAATGAATCTTGCCAGCTTCGTGCACATGGGTTACAGTACGCTCGATTCAAATGAGTCTTGCCAGCTTAGTGCACAAGATTCATCACCATGTTGCCCGTTGTCTCCCTCAACGAGCTGTGCAGAGTGCCATGGCAAACTCACCATCTCTCTCTCTCTCTCTCTCTCTCTCTCTCTCTCTCTCTCTCTCTCTGTGTGTGGTCATTGCAAGACCACTCGGAAAAAAGTGAAAAATGAGAGTGAACTTCCCGCTAGAACATGGCCAGATGCACACGCCACATTTTTGTCTTTCCCACCTTTGGAGAGTGGTGTGGCGGTGGAATACGGACGTCTGATTTTCTGTTGTTTGTTTCCTTTTTTGCAGAATTGTTTGTTTGTTTTTTGTGTTTTTTCAACTTTTTTGGTGTTTTTTCCTCTTTTATTTGTGAATGACGTACTACCAGGATGTTGAGCCTCGACAATCAAAGTCGAGGCTCGAAAATGATCAGGTTACCGGTCAGCCGAGCCTAGGACTTGACAGCTGAACATGTCCAACAATCCCAGAAGCATATATCCCAGAATAGTGCAGGGAAACCAATAAAGAAAATATTTTAGGCTGCGCACACCAGGCTCACATGCGGCTGGCCTGCACGCACACCCCAGTGGACCTGCGCACAGCGCAGCCAGCAGTGCAGCGCACATTGCGCACCTGGATGCGCGGTGCGGTGCATGTGCATCACCGATCTGCGCACCGCGATCACGCCTGGTGCGCCGCAACTATAGCCCTAGAAACGTTTCTACTCTATTTTTTTCCACGGCCTATAGCTGGGCCAAGACCCATCACGCTAGGCCATATTGGACTGGGGTTGGTTGGTAGTGATCCCCCTATCTTCTTCACCCGAATACACCGGTCATTATCGCTGTACCTGGACTGAAAGTTCCCCCAAATACAGCTGTAATGACCGTGGGTTTCGTTTGGGTGAAGACGGTAGGCTTCTTCCTTCTGAAACCACCCCTACCAAGGCCCCCCCGCCAAGAGAAAAAAAAAGCTGGTACAGTACCAGGTCCCGTTGGGTTCGCGGGTCAGCTCTGGACGTAGTGGTGGTTTAAACAATCCATGTCAGTGACCACCGGATAAAGAACCGAAGTACGTGGGAGATATAAATACAACCAAAGAAAAGCAAAACATAATCATAAAACAGAAGAAACTTCAAAAAAGAAACAGCCCTAAACAGGAAACGTGACCAGGGGCTAGCGATATTGACGGTGGATAGCAGAGATCAACGGCCAGAATCTCTTAATCCGTGCAAGTGGGACCTTGCCCCAATACAGGTCTGCAGGGGAAAGCCTGTAAGCTGAGCTTGCTGATGCTGCCAGATTTCCGGGTAGAATTGTGTGGTCCCCGGCCTCGATTGATTAAGTCTAATGAAGTTTACTGGCCTAGCTCAGTTGGTCCACCCCTGAACTGTTGAAATACAGACTCAAGTTCGAACTCCACTGGAAGCGGAGGAGTGAAAGACTACAATTCTGAATCACCTACGGCTGGTCAATCAGATGATGATATCTCAAGGCCGTCGCCCTTATAAAATAAGAAAGGAAAAAAAAAAAAGGCGGAGGAAACGTGGCAAAAAACACGTGCCGACTAGACTAACGCAGTTGGTTGGATTCAAAAAAAAAAAAAAAGACTAACGCAGTTGCCACTCCCCTGTACTGTTGAAATACGGACCTGAGTTCGAACTCCACTGGCAGCAGATGAGTACAATGCTACAGTTCTGAATTAACTAGGGCCAGTCAGTTCGATGATGATATCTCAAGGCCATCGCCCTTACAAAGAGGAGGGGGGGGGGGAAGAAAAAAAAAATCATCCCCTTGCAAGCAATTGTGCATGCATATCCCTGCGCGAGGATGACACGAAGAAATAGATGAATGGTCCCAAAAAAAAAAAAAAAAAAAAAAGTGAAAAAGTGAAAAAAAAAAATCGACTATTGGTGAAAAAAAGAAAAAGAAAAAGAAAGACATTGATGAGGGACAGTTGTCAGAGGGTGTGTGTGTGTGAGGGGGGGAGAGAGAGAGAGAGGGGGGGGGGGGGGGGGGGGGGGGGGGGGGGGGGGGGGAAGGAGGAGAGAGTA